CTATAGCTACTTTTAGCTATTCTTTTATTGCTTTAGCTTAATGTTAGGCTTTAGGTACTTTTAACTATTGCTTTAGCTTTGTTTTAGCCTATAGCTACTTTTAGCTATCCTTTAATTGCGTTAGCTTAATTTTAGTCTATAGCTACTTTTAGCTATTCTTTTATTGCTTTAGCTTAATGTTAGGCTTTAGGTACTTTTAACTATTACTTTACCTTTGTTTTAGCCTATAGCTATTTTTTAGCTATCTTTTATTTCTTTAGCTTATTGTTAGCCTATAGCTACATTTAACTATTGCTTTAACATAGTTTTAGCCTATATCTACTTTTAGCTATCCTTTTGCTGTTTTAGCTTTATTTTAGTCTATAGCTAATTTTAGCAATCCATTTTCTGCATAGCTTGTAACTAACATTTTTCTGATTGTGGCATTTTGGTACTTTTAGCTTTCAGTTAGCCTTTTGCTGTTTTCAGTTCTAGTTACTGTTTTGCGGCTTTCATCATTGAGCTAGCCTTTTAAGACTTTAGTTTTTTGTCTTATTAAGCTTTTCATTAGTCATTTGCTAAAATTAATTGTTAGCCAACATGCTACTTTTAGCTTTTAGCTTCAATTTCAGCTTTTTCAGTAAATTTCAGCCGTCATTCAGCTCTCACAGAGCAGCGTCTACTTTCTGTTTTTGCCTCTTGTTAAAAGTGAGATTACAAAGGGGCCATATCTGGCCCACGGGCCACCTGGCCAAGTCTTGGGGGACCAGGATCCCCCGACGCTCTGAGACAAACCGTCTCCCAAAGGTTCAAATTACAGCAACAGAAAGAAAGAAGCTAAAGAAAAGCTCCGAGCTAAATCGAGCCACAGGTGGTTTATTTTCCTCTTGAAGCTCATTAAAGTCCTGAACAACAAGCTGCTGTCAGCTGACGGCTGCAGACCTGTCCTCCTGCTGGTCACATGACCCCTGAGGAGGAGCAGGAGCAGCAGCAGGAGGAGGAGCAGGAGGAGCAGGAAGCTCAGATACGTCTGATAAAGATTTTCTCCACACTGAAGCTTCATTACTTCTTTCACTGCTTTTAGCTTCTTTAGCCAGCCATTATCTTTTAGCTGCTTAAAGTTTTTAGCTACTGTTCTGCTACATTTACCGAACTAACAAACTGCTGTCTATTTTATTGGATTAATTTCAACAGGTTTTACAGTGCAGCCCCACTTAATCAGAACCAATCTGTGGCCCANCTGCGGCCCAACCACTGACCCAATCTGCGGCCCAACCACTGACCCAATCTGCGGCCCAATCACTGACCTAATCTGCGGCCCAATCACTGGTCCAATCTGTGGCCCAATCACTGGTCCAATCTGTGGCCCAATCAGGGTCCATTCTGTGGCCCAATCAGGGTCCATTCTGTGGCCCAATCACTGGTCCATTCTGTGGCCCAATCACTGGTCCAATCTGTGGCCCAATCACTGGTCCAATCTGTGGCCCAATCACTGGTCCAATCTGTGGCCCAATCACTGATCCAATCTGTGGCCCAATCAGGGTCCAATCTGTGGCCCAATCAGGGTCCAATCTGTGGCCCAATCACTGGTCCAATCTGTGGCCCAATCACTGGTCCAATCTGTAGCCCAATCACTGGTCCAATCTGTAGCCCAATCACTGGTCCAATCTGTAGCCCAATCACTGGTCCAATCTGTGGCCCAACCACTGGTCCAATCTGTGGCCCAACCACTGGTCCAATCTGTGGCCCAATCACTGGTCCAATCTGTGGCCCAATCACTGGTCCAATCTGTGGCCCAATCACTGGTCCAATCTGTGGCCCAATCAGGGTCCAATCTGTGGCCCAACCACTGGTCCAATCTGTAGCCCAATCACTGGTCCAATCTGTAGCCCAATCACTGGTCCTATCTGTGGACCTTTCAGGGTCCAGATAAATCCTGAAGCTGCTCTCAGAGCTTCCTCAGTCCAGGTCCAGCTATTCTGGGCCACTTTAAGCGGGCCACGCCCACTGGGTTGGGACCAGCAGGGTGGCGGCTCGGACAGAACCAACCTGAACCCAGACAGAAGAGGAAGATCTCAGAACCGAACATCATCTTCATCAGTCCTACCTTCTTCTGCAGACTTCATGATGTCCTCCTGAGGACCAGAACAGTTCAGACTCTGGACTCGGACTGGTACCGGTCCTCCTCCATAAATCCTCCGCAGCTGGGTCCTCCCTCCTCTCCCTCTCCGGACCCGCAGCTGGTTCTGGTTCTGGAAAACAAAACTCCCGAACAAGAAAATAAAAACAAAAACGCAAAAATATATAAAAAAGAAGGGAAATCAAACCGAACCAGGACCGAGCCGGGTTTCTTCAGGGAGGAGGTTCGGCTCGTGGTTCTGGGGGATCCTGGTTCTGCCGGGTCTCTGTGACGCACTGAGAAACTCCGGCTCTTTTTAAACGCGGGGATCACCTCCGGAGACGCGCCGCCCCTCCGCGCGCTCTGACGCACGGACCCGGACCAGATGGGTCCAGGAGATCCTCTCTGACACCGCGGGACCCGAACCCGAACCAGAACTGAGCCGAGACCCATTAGTCCGTGATCCCTTAGCAAAAAGTAATATCCTAATAATAACAACTATTATTATTTATTTATTTAAGTATAATACTAATTGTAAACTACAATAAATAAATAAATAATAATAGTTGTTATTATTAGGATATTACTTTTTGCTAAGGGATCACGGACTA